CCCCGTCACTGAAGCACCCCTTTGGAGCTATACCATCATCATCACAACAACCGACACCGAAGAAAGAAAGCCTATAGATGTTTATACATATAAGGAGTTAATATGTACAATGGTTCGCTTATGTTATTTATGCTTAATTAAAAGATGGCGTTTCTTATTTATTCCTTTTAATAATTTAATGTTATATCAAAATATTTTTAGCTTTGATAATATTAAATTAAAGTTTTGTGTTTATATGGTTTTAGTGTTGTTTATGAATATAACATATTTAAGTATTATATTTTTTTATGATACAATTTTATATAATTATATTATGAATATTAAATTAGGTGATATTTTGAATTATTTTTATGGTTGATCTTTTAGTATAAGATGCGAGATTTAAGTATAATTAAAAAAATTGAGAAAAGTAGAAAAAAAAAAAAGATAATAAGAAATTTAACATTTTATGTAAATAAACAAAAGCCGTTTAAGTTAAAGATGTTAAAGAAGTTTTCTATATTTTATTATGGTATGTATTTTAAATATAAATATAGAAATATATACAAAATAAGGCGTAAGAGTTATTTACATCTAAGTAAAGTAAATGATTATTTATTGAATGATGATTTTTTTCGTAAATTAAGACGGAGAAAAAGTTTAAAAAGAAAGAAAATAAGTCATTTTTTAAATTCCAGTTCTCTTCAAAGAAATAGTAAACTTCAAAGTTTAAAGAGAACTGCAATCTTAAAAAATTTAAGAAAAAAAAAGCGATTATTATTTTTACAAGGTAATCAAGAGAGCAATTTACTTTATCGTATATTTCAACGTAAATTACGTAAATATAAGAAAAAAGGTAAATTAAAAAAAATACAAAGAATTTTCTTAAATAAGTATCTAATAAAAGATAAATGTCAAAAGCGTATTACAAAAGCTCCAAGTTATTTGAATATTTACGAAGATTTTAATAAAGGTATTCATACAAAAATAGAGAATGTTTCCGGAGAGTTTAGAATTAAGAAGCTTGTAAAAACTTCTTTTAATTATTTTCTACAGAAAGTCTATACAATAAATACGTCTTTAAAGTTCTTGCATAATTTGCGCAGTTCACGAATATTGGCATATGCACGTAAGCGTTACTTACGTGTGCGTTATAAACGTAGACGTTCTATGAAGCATAATAAGAAATTAAGAAGAGTTCGTAAGAGTCATCGTGGTAATTTTAGATTAAGAATTCAAAAGTCTTTTGAAGATTATAGGAAAAACCAAGTTTCATATAAAATATTATTTCGTTTATATCGTAGTTTTAAACGAAATAATATAAAGATGAAATTTCCTTTAAAAAATGTAATTAAGAAACATAAAGTACGAAAGAATAAATTTAAAGCACGCCGTACTAAATCTTATTCTTTTTATTTTTCGAAATTAGTAGGCTTAAACAGTTTTTTTAAGAATCGCCTGATTTTTAAAAAGAACATATTTAATTTTAATAAACGTAATGTTAAAGTATTCTTAAAAAGACTTTTTCTTAATAGAAAAATTTTTAAGTTGAAGAAGCGTGCTATTAGGAACTTTAAACTTAAGAACTTAAAAAAGAAATTAAAATGGAAGTTATTTTTACGTAAATCTTTTATCAAAGTCTTTGGGTTTTATTTAAAGAAATCATTACAAAAAGGTAAAGGTATTACAGTGGCATTAAAGGAAGAAACTTTAAAGTCATATTTGAATTATCTTATTTTAAAACGTAAATCGAAAGGAAGTAGTAATATTGATTTAGAGCTTTTTAAGTTTTTAAGCTTAATACAATTAAGAGCTGCTCTTAATTGTATTAAAGATTTTAAAAACCTAAATTATATTCTTCCCTTAGTTTCTTTTAAGCTAATTCTTGAACGCTTTTTAAAAATCAATACCTTAATGTCTTTAAATGAGGATTTTAGTACTTTTAACCATTTAAGTTTTAAAATGATTAATCATTTGTTAAAATTTAAATGGTTAAAAAATAAGTTATATAAGCGATTAAAATATAATTTATTACAAAAAGTAAAAGAACATAGAGTGGTGGAACGAAAAAATAATTTGTGTATTATTTTACCAAAAACTAATTATGATTACATTGAAATGAATCATTACTTTAAAATTTATCGTAAATTACGAAATAAATTACGTAAAAGGGGGCGTAAACGACGATCCATGTATTTACTTTTTAATAAATTGACAGATATATTTAATTATAAGGTTCGTAAATTACGTGCGTCACGCTATTATATAAGTATTCAAAAAACAAGATTACCGCAGGTAGGCTTATTTATGATWAA